CATTACAATACTTTCCCCTTTCACACTATGTGTGTGCGGAAAAGTAATAAAATTCACATATAGTTGGCGCTGCATTCTATGCAAACTTGTTTTCCGTTGCAACGGACTAAGTGGAAAGTATACGCTTATTACATAGAATGTAGTGCCAACTATACGTGAATTTTATTTTTTTATCATTTTAGGCAGTAATCTTATCGCTTCTTTCACCAAAAATTGAATTGTGATTTGTATGTAAATACCATTCATTAGTTGTTGATTGTTGAGTGTAAATTGTGGAACACTTGCAATGGCCGCTCCTGGTGCACATACGGTCACTCCTTCACCACCGTCAATGCAAGGATCACGACTCGTCCATGTGTATACATTGGCGGGTAGTTTTTCACGAAGTGAGTATCTATTTTAAGAAATGTTTGAAATCAAATACGAATTATTTTTCATAAAGAGTTTTTGACTCACTCGGCTTCCATCATTTCGGGTGAAACATAGGCGCCCACTCCAATGCATGCTGGCTGAGATATATCTGGAGGTGTACCAATAGTACACAAAGCAGGACCTATTTCAACAACAAAAAAAATATTTTTATTTCGGTCCAATGAAACTTTTCATTTATAGCCTGAAATACCATGATTTCCAGCTGATGCAACCCAGACAACACCATAGTCGTTTACGATCTCATTCATTATCTCGCCGATACGTCTGTAAAGAGAAAATTGATAAGATTTCGTCAACAAAACCATTTATATCGAATTTATTTAATGTCGAATAACAAAGAAAGTCATTGAGGGCGTGACGTATCTAGACGCAATAATCATTTACAGCGGCTGTAAACGATATACACTACTCACCCACTCGTAGACCAATGAGTAAATTCACCGTAGCTCATATTGATTAAATGAACGCGGCGACCAGCATTGCATAGTTCCATGATTTTCATCAAGGCTCGAACTATGGCCGTACCTGTTTCCATGGACCTATTAAATACGGCATTTTTTTTTAAATTGCAGTCTGTGCCATTCGGCTTTCAAAAACAAGTACTAACCCTAAACGCCCGTCGCCAATTGTGAGTGACACAATTTTTGCACCCGGTGCAACGCCGTCCAATTCTTCATTCGAATCAGATGTCTTATGATTGCCAGCAGCGATCGATGCAACATGTGTACCATGTGATGAGCACATTCCGACAATTTCCAAAACATTTCCATCGTCATGTACATTCATAGACACCGATAGAAAATCGTCGATACTTTTAATTTCATGTGTTTTCGAGTATTCACCTACTGAAATTGCCTTTTCAAGATCACCCTAATTGGTAGTACGTAAAATAACGGCATTAATTTATTTGTCTTTGCAATCGTAATATTGTTAAAACCTACGTTCAATGATACGTCAATTGAGCACCGCCAACCAGTTTTTGTCTCATACAAAAGTACATCGTAGTATGTTTTAACGTCCATATACTGCTTATCAAATGCCTGTAGACATTCGAGAGTACCATCAATGTCTTCTTTGACCAGTTTGTCAGCCAGCGATAGATTTGTATCTGAAAACAAAAAAAAATTGGTGTAAAGTAATGAGAGATCAGTGATTTTGTATAAATTTGTATTTAAATTGCCACCCACTTCCAGCATTGGCTGCTTCAAAGTCGCTCGAACGTTTCGATGTCTCAGCGATGGCAGTCTTATGTTTTTCATCCCATGTCTTGAATTTTGCGTCAGCATTCATTTTCTCATTTACTTTGGCCGGATACAAATCATGTAGACTTTTCAAACCGATTCGGTATTCATTGCCGCTGAACTCTTTTTTAATGGATTCAGATAGCTAAACGTACAACAACAACAAATGAATAAAATATTTCGATAAAAAAATTGTATATATTGTTGGTTTAATTGACGTCAAAACTCCAATACTTTTAAATGATGATGACATTTAAAACCGGAATTTTATTTCAAGCGAAAAAATATACCAACAAATCATTTGAATTTTGTTGTAATTAACATTGCAATTATAATCCCAAGCCCAATTACCTTGAGTGTTCGTCCGGATAGACCAACAATCTCATCATCCGGTGTGGGTGACACTTTTTTGGTTGTATCAACATCACCGCATCCAGAACAATCAAAGCGTTCAATCACTTTCACCGATCCATCGGGTGTTTTCTAAATACCAACAAAAAAAAATTCATCGACCAGATATAGGTTAATCGCAAACATTTGACTTTTATTTTCGACAAAAACCTAAATAAATCATAATTCATGCGTAGCACTAAATTGTGCAGCTATAAATAAGCAAAAAAATTGCAAACACGCGTGTGGGACAATGACAATGCATAAAAACGTTTGCTTGCTTGTGCATTTGCGATTGTATATTGGCAATGTAATAGAAAGAGAATACCTGTTCTAAAAAAATTGAATATGATTCTAAATAAGATTCTTTTTTACCTCAAGTCCGTTTGCTTTCGGATCGACACCCGAATCCAAAATCGCAATTGTTACACCATCGCCATTGTAGTTGGGGTACTTTTTAAGAAATTGAATAACACCCGTTTCATGTTTTGGCACAAGCGAATCACCTGGAAATTTTTTATCAACAACAACACCCGCCATGATTGATGTTCGATTACAAACTGCTGCTTTTGTTGCTTTTGTTACTTTTGCTGCTGTTGCCACTGCTGTCGTTGACGATGTATGTAAGGTTGCGGTAGCTGTCAAACGCACCAGAAATTCTACAATGACAGTTGTTGTTTTTTGACATTTCATTATTGTGTGCCAGACAGAGATGAATGTATGTGCAAACACAAATGAGTATGTTTTTAGTACAAAACGAACCAGATTTATTTCACATATATATAGAAAAATAAAATGAAAAAAGATTTTTATATGACTTACTTTGTTGAATGCTGCGAATCATAAAACGGAATAAAAATTTAAGAATTCAATTTTGCTTAGAAATCCATATAGCGTTAAAGAATTTATTTTATTTTTTTCCGAAGAGAAGTACAATGCAACATGGCTTTCTGATTCGACTTGAACGAAACGATTAACCATAACCTATGATATTAGTATTGAACAATGACAGTTGGAAAAAAGAGAGCGAAAATAAATTCAAATGCATGTTTTCCAAATTATGTTCGTTATAACTTTATTGAGTTTTTTTATTTATTAAACGATTATATTGATTTTGGTGATTTTTTCAAGGAAAAAAAAAATGAATCGCTAGCGATAAAAAAAGAGAGATGTAAAATTGAAATTGTTTTATCCTAACCGAATATTGTTTTTTTTTTTTTTTTTTTTTTTATAAATGCTGAATTGAATTAAAAATTTTCTGGCGATGAAATATTTTCAAAGTCGTTATTATCTAAAATAGATGCGACCACATTTAGCGTATCACTGGTGCTGATTGCACTATTGATATCCAAATCCGAAAAGAGTGATTCCGTCTCAATGTGTTCGTTATTTTCCGTTGTGATTTCAATAAGAGCATCGTTGACCGTGTCCATCATACTGACCTCGTTCGAATCATTGCCGTCATTTTCCAATTGGTCATCATTGGTTTTGTCATCACTTCTGTTTGGTGAATTACTGGCATCCAACATTACGACATCATTTTCATCAATAACCATTGACGTGGATGTTATTTCCGCGTGACTTTCTTGATTTGATGTATCGTTATCACCATTATCCGAGCTACTTTCAATCGATTTTGCCTCATTTTCACTAAAATCGGCATCATTTTGTGGTGTGGTGGCTTCAATTTGTGGCATTTCGATGTCATTTTCTACTTCAACCGTATCAATTTGTGGCGTTTCATTTTCAACCTCTTCAATTGCTGCTATTTCGTTTTGTTGATTTTCGTTTTGTTTCGATTCGTCAGCAGTTTTTTCGGTTTCATCCGGCGGTTGATCAACGTTTTCGTTAGATTGCAGTTCATTTTCATTATTTTTTGCAGTTTCTAATTGATTTTCAGTGCGCTGCTCATTTTCCACCACAACTACATCATCGTCTTTCTTTTCACTTACATCTTGTGATTGGCACGGTGAATTTGTATCGGACTGTTGTTCCTCTTCTGCCTCTTTATCGTCATCTTCAACTACAATTTCACTGTTTTTCATTTTCTGTAGCGCCTTTTTCATCAAATCGGGATAAACATTTTCAACTGGTTTCAACTCAATGGTTACTAGGCTCTTCAATTTCAAATCATTTTCAATGGATAAAATTTCGGGTTCTTCAGTTTCTGGTGGCGTTGCAATTCCATCAACATCATCATTCATGCGCGATAGCAACAATTCACCATGATCATCTTCCTCCTCTACATTCATATTGATTTGTAAAAGTGATGTCACATCAACATCACATTCCAAATGTTCGGTCGAAGAAGAAGAAATGTCCAGCACAAGTCCTGAAGTATTAATTGGTCCGCTTCGGTTGGATAAAGCAACTTCATGTTCACCAGGTGTGCCAATCGATTGGCGTGATCCGTTTGCTGTGTTTGCATTCGTTTTCGATTTATTCTTCTCGGGAGTTCGTGTCTCATCATCCGAATCCAAATTAATTGTTTGATGATTGGGCTCAACAATTTCCAAGTCGTCTTCGTCGACATCGCTACCATACTTATCGATCACATTTCCCGATGACAATGAGGTTGCATCATTTTTAAAACCAAGACGTTCCATATCTTCCATGCATTTGTCGTGAACCGTTTGAAAGCGTCCTTTCGTGTAGGTGAATAGGTACGATAGATGAATGTAAAGCTCTTTAATATCGTGTAATTTTTGCGCATTTTTATACGCATTTGAATTCATGAGCGTTTTAAGTTTTCCATCGATTTGATGACAAATCGATATAGAATTGAATATTTGTCGCTCCAATTGGGTACGTGCACGGCCAACTGAATCGTTTGCATAAACTTTTGGTTGTGGCAATGCATTCAGAATACTTGGACCGGCCGTAACATTTGGAAGTTGTGCCGGTGGCACAGCAACATTTGGTCGCACTTGATTTGACACTACGCTTGGTCGCATTGATATTTGCTGCTGTAAATGCATTTGTGCATCTTGGAATGACATATGATTTGGCGGAACTGTGTGTGGTCGCATTTGATTCGAAATTGCCCTTTGATAGACTTGTGGACGCATTCTTGCTGCTGCTGGTGTTGGTATTTGCTGTAGCGGTGGAATCGGTCCCGCTGAGCTCACTGAATTTATAATCAGCGGCGGAATTTGCTGTTGAATTGTTTGCATACGTTGAGCAAATTGTGTACGTGGCGGTGGCGGCCCAGGTGGTCTCACCACAGTCGATGTTGGAACACGTTGGATTGGATGGCGAACCGAAGCCGGTGCGGTAACAGTTTGATTTTGTGCTGTTGCCACTGGAGCGGTTGGTCTTACATCTCTTATTGAATATCTGGTTGGTTCATTTCGTCCATTGTTTGCTGGTGTTTGTTTCTTAACATGAATCACTTTGCCGTTTGGTAAACGAATTGTGCTTTGTTGTGCAGCACTATTCAAATCAATTCGATATCCATTGTAATTGTGATATACCGGTTGCGAAGCCGCTTGTGTAACCGTAGATCGAGCAACTCGTCTCACAAATTGTTCACGATTTGCCGATTGACCTTGTGACACTTCAGCATTCGCAACTTCATTTCCACTTGTCACACTTTGTATACGAATCGAATCGGAAGTGTTTGAAAATTGTGGCTGTGATTGTACTGCAGGTCGTGTTGGTTGATTTTTCGATGTCGATGGTCCTTGAATAGTTGATGAGATTCCTGTCGATGATGACACCGAATTTTCTGATTGCTCCTTTTCACCAACGGTTTGTTCATAGCTGTGATTCACAAGATACGCAAATAAATCTGGTGTACAATCAATTTCGGCTGCATCTGAATTTGCAACGACTGGTGCGATTGGTGTGCTTGCTGGCTGTACGGTTTTTTGTACATTTGGAGTGGGCTTTGGAACCACTTTTTTCACTTGTGGCTCTTTTGGTGGTGGTGGTGGCGGATCAGACTTCTTTTTCGGTACTTCTTTATCAATTTTTTGCGTCGCAACTGGCACGACCACCGGCACGTCTGACGATTCCGACACACTCTTCTTAGCTACTTTGCTTCTTCTCTTTGTAGACCAATTTGAATCTTCCGAATCATCATCGGAATCATCGTAAAGGAGTGGCTTTCGCTTTTTGCAATCAATTGTTTTCTTCTTTGTTTGACAACATTGAGATGAATCATGTGACATTGCATCGGCGATTTCGTCTCGATCGTGAGTCTTGCGCATCTTTTCAATTTTCCTAAATTTAAAAAGAAAACACAAAACGGTCTATTGAATATACTCTTTTTTCTATACTTTTCACTACTCACTTTTGTTGTTTTTCAATGAAATTTACCAGCGCCCAATGTTGAGCCCGTAAATGGTATAGAATTTTCGGTGCACACGAAAAACACTTCCAATTGTCATTTGACGTAACATTGTTCAATGCGACTTTCGTCAAATTGCGGAGAATGCATTTCTTACAAAATACATATGGACAATCGGAGCAACAGTAAACATCACCGCCTGCACGGAAAATTTGCAAACAAATCAAATCATTTAAAATTGCGATTGTTTTGGTTTTCTGTTTAAAAAACGGTGATTCAACATACCTTGACCACACCAGCGACAATATAGTTCGCTTCCATCCTCACCCTTTTCGAATTCGCCGCTGTTGTAGAAACGATAACATTTATAACATTGCGTCACTCGCAACACGGGATGCATGCGAATGATCTTTTCAGCATTCGGTGCGGTGCCAATATGAACGTTGCAACATGTACAATGCAGCCTTTTATCAGCCACCATGTTAACATTTGAATACGCTTGAACGAAATATTTTTTCTCTTCAGCCGTTGTTCCATCTTCAAATGTTAGTTCAAAACCTAATGAGGAAGAAAAAAACAAACACATCATTAAATCAACACATCATAGAAACCATGTTATATGTGGTTCTCACTCATAGCACTCGTTCAACTCAAAAATAAATGCTCAACTTATTTATAAAATTCAATACAATTCAATCATCCAAACAAGCATCGTTTCAACGCTTCGTGACAATGTGAATGAGAGAACCGCATTCTACTGCGTTTGACAGTTTCGCGCTAAAAAAATAAAAAAGCAAAACTAACACAACGCGACGCTCTCACATGAAAACGACTATACATACACACACACACACACCATACACACATCGGTACGTCTGTCAATATATACCACTGTCTTCACTGTATAAACTAATTACTTCGAATTGAAAATGTTCACGACGAGTAAACGCAACAACAAATATTACATTAAACAAATCGATTTAAACATTTTTAATGATATTATTTACCTTCGTCGTCGTAATCCTTAATGTTATCCATTGTTATGGCGTTCAAATTTCACTTTCAAATCTTGTTGTAGCTTTTTTTGCCGACCAAGTTTCAGTTCAGTTGTTTTGCATATTTTTCAACCAAAAAAATATATATAACAATTTTGGTCGTTGAAATGATGTGATTTATTAAAATTATTCGGGTCAAAATTAAAAACACTTTCACTAAAGATTGAGACAACGTTAAAGATTGTGGCAAAATGGACGATTGTGACTCGTCTCTCTTTGCATGCAGTGAATGTAATATTGACTGATTTGCAGCTCTACTCTAAAAATTCTCTCTGCCTCAATAAGAGAGAAAAAAGTTCAGTATAAATAGTACATTGAGTATGGGGGCGCTGCATGTCTATGAAGAAAATTGTTCGCAATAGCTTTGTTCGTTAAAAATAAATTACGGGGAGTTTGCTCGCCGCTGTGCAGAGGTCACTCTTGCCGTTTTACTTTAGTGTGTTAAGTACTATTTTGTTCTCTTTTGCCGTAATATCGCATTTTTTTAGTATTTTTTTTTTTTTTAATTTAATGAATTTAAGAGAAATCTTTCAAAGAAAATTATTGAATCATAATAATTTCATTGAAAATCAATCGATGCACAATTGAAATCATTTAAAACATTTTATCAAAAAAAAATTTGGTATAAATAACCTCACTTTTACTAATTTTTTCTATAATTAAGTACTCAGTTTGGTCATCAAAACTTGAAATTTTTAAATTTTTTGAAAAAATTCGAGAAAACTTTAATTTTTGAAAAATATTCAGAGACTCTTCCTTAGAGCAAGATATTTGAGGAGGTTTACATCCGATGCTCATGAAACTTGGACATGATATCAGTAGGGCAAGTACCTTTCTAACGCATATAATATCCAGTAGGTGGCGCCACTGATATCTATTATTTTCAAAAAGTTCCGTTATTTCCTGGACAAAGGGTGTAAATTCCGCCCATGGTGCGACTTTGAAAAGAGACACAATAAATACGAATTACTATAAAAACTCAATATTGGGTCCGGAAAACCATGGCAAAATCGGTCTAATTCAGGAGAATCAGAGGAAAAACTTAATAATATCTTAAAATATATTTTTGAATTTAAATAATAAAATAAAAATAATGAAATAATAAGATAAAATAAATAAATAAAAAATCATGAAAATAAAAAAAATTAAATTGTGTGTACATACTTGCTCGCTAGTCTCGATAGCTGTTTCTAGCAAGCCAAATAACATGCTCTATTGAACCGGCCACCACACAATTAGTACAGACAGCTTCAAATCAGGCGCCAGTTAAAATTGGCCTTCATTTGGAACCAAAAAAAATTCTATTTGGGAGCCGTTGTTATGGAACTTTTTCGAATGGCACACCAAGATGGATTTAACTGTAAGTGCACGGAAGTGGCAAGGCAACGTAACAAACCGTAACACCAGCTAGGCAGATATCTCTTGAACCATAAATTTTGTATTCACGATATCACATTTGTGTGATTTTATTAATAGGAATTGAAACAATTATACGGATTTTGTCGCCAACATGGCATTCTCTTGTGCAAGTGCTACTAATTATTCGACTGTTGCCATTTGGATAATGTGGCCAACATTATTTAAATTAGATGTCGTCTAGTAATTGAGTCGATTTTACGATGATCGCCGTTGCGAATGTGAAACGTTTCCATAATCAGATGTCGACTTGGCGCCATTTGATAGCTGATGGCAAGACCAAAAATCAGTAGAGAAGGAACCCAAATCACTTTCAGAGGCCGGCCTCGGCCGTTAAAGAAGATCGGAAACAACTACGATACAAGATACGACTAGAGCTAATTCCATCTTTCATATGGTGGCGCCAAGAGCAAAAATCCATTACCGCTTCGCGTGCCCTCTCATTTCCTAGTGTATATTCAGGAAAAGAGAGGGCGCGTGTAGCGGTAATGAGTTTTTGCTCTTGGCGCCACCATATGTGTCCATGGAAATAAAAGTGGCAACACAAAAACGGAATCAGAAGAACGTTACATAAAAAAAAATTTGTATGGAGTTATTCATAATTAAATGTTAACACTCCGTATCATGGAGTTTGGCATAATACGTGCAGTCCCTGACTTCCGTTTTATCTAATCGACATACCAAACATGTTATAACTACGGCGTGGTTGGTTCAAAACTGCAATTCAATAAATTAAAAGTCAAGTGTCAAAATTTTGCATTCGGCGAATCAAACTCTTATTCTTTTATTCACAAAGTATTCTGTACATATGTATAATTTGAAGTAATAAAAACTAGTGCGCATTTTGTTTGTTCTTCTCCAGTAGACCCATTAACATTTCACGATATTCTTTCACAATCTTAACGTTCATTTCATCGAAAAATGGTATGGTTTTGCTGACGCGACTCAGCCAAGCTAAAATATTTCTATGCTTTTCGGTTTCAAGCGGTGCGAAGATTTGAAGCGGAAGAACATTGCTTGCAGCACAAATATCAGCGATCGTTAGCGTATTACCAACCAAAAATGGATCCGATGCTAAAAATGCTTCCAAAATCTCATATGATGAATTAATTCGGTCGATTTTTTCCTGTGAAATTTCTTTGCCACCTCGGTAAATAGTGTAAGAACAATCCCGCAATCGCGTATACAAGCTGTCATCATCGAAAAACAGACGTTGATTGCATTTGGCTCTCAATTTTAAATCTTTTGGATACAATGCATCGTCTTTTGCATATTTATCAACTAGGTACATGCAAATGGCGTGACTGTCCCAAATGGAAAAATCCCCATCGAGCAATGTTGGAATGGTATGCTGTGGATTGAGCTGGCATTTTTGGTAAAAAAATATTGATCAGAAATTTCCAAAGAAGATCATCAAACTGAATTCATAAATACCTTAAGAAAAGATTCTTTCAAATGTTCACCTTTGGAGAGATTAACCTCACTATAACAAAAGAAAAAAAAGTCGAAACAATTTAAATCCATTTTTTAAGAAAACAAAAACTCAATTTTTTACCGAAGCTCAAAATCAAGTCCCAGAAATCTTGCTAGCAATTTAACCGCACGCACTGGTGGACTCATGTCTTTGTAGTACAAAATCAGCTTGTCACCCATTTTCGTAATAATTCAATGTGTTTACGAAATTAAAGTCACATTCAAACTGACGCTGGCACGAGCATGTACTGGATTTTATACGTATCATTTGATTTTGAAAGAGAATTTTTCAAACGCTTATAACATACTATCCGATAGTGATGTACGACTATGTGGGTTGAATCTATGTGAAATTTTTGGATGAGCTTATCTTTCAATGAAAAGTGACTTATCAGTGGTGTCGTCATCAACGGTTTGAAAGTCTGAACAAATAAATAATATACATCGATCATTCCAATACAGATATTGCATATTTTTTCCCATATTCATGATGAGTTGGTATTATATTGTTTTTGCTCTTGCTTCTGGAACTAATCGCTTTATAGAACACAGCAAAGCGTAACATAAATTAAAAACCAAACAAATATGTGCGTGACATGCAAAAAGTCGTAAAAATGAACTCATGTTTAACTTTGTTGTTCTCTTGGATGAATTGTTATTGGATAAACTTTCGAAGAGCTAATGTAAAAAAACTCCCAAATATTCCTATAAATGGAAATATTGAAATCCAAGGAGATATCTCAGCATTTATTAGATGAAAAAATTGTAACAACTTAATTCTGTTTATTTTTCTCAAGAGCACCTTGAACAAGTTGACGGTATTGTTCCGTTGATGATGCATTCAGTTCGTCAAAGAATGGAATCGTCTTGCTTATACGTTTCAGCCAAGCTGTTATTTTTGGATATTTATCATTTTGAATCGGAGCATATACTTCAAGCAGAAGCAAAGTAATTGATACACTAATATCGGCAATTGGCAAATGATTGCCCACTAAAAATGGATCGGTTGCGAGAAATACTTCCAAAATGTCATAAGCAGCATACATTGGACTGATTTTGTCTTGTGGAATTTCCTTGCCACCATTGTGTAAAACATGTAGACAGCAATCGCGAAAACGCACAAACAAACTGGCGGCGTCAAAAAACAGACGTTGATTGCATTCGGCTCTCAATTGTAAATCTTTTGGATACAATGCATCATCTTTTGCATATTTATCCACTAAATAGGCGCAAATGGCGTGACTATCCCAAATGGCAAAATCACCATCAACCAATGTCTGGACTGTATGTTCTGGATTGAGCTTAAAATGAAGATAAATCATCCATGTTAATCACTTTACAATAAAAAATCGCAGTAAATTACCTTTATATAAGGTTCTTTCAAATGCTCACGGTTTAACAAATCAACATTACTAGTATTGGAAAGAAAAGATCATATATTTGAAATTGAATAAAACTTTAAAATCAGGAAGTACTCTGTGCTGAATTTCTCAGGCTACCTGAAAATAACGGTAGACTTTTTTACTTTTCCGCATTTTCTATTCTTCATTTACTCTATATTATAAACTGTTTCTTTTTTATAAAATAAGACGGTTTCTACCTGCAACACATAAAAAGGATCTAAAGTACAATGCTATTATAATTTGGTGCCAATACATGGTATAATCACATGAAAATTTCTCAGAAAAAATCGACTTAAATTAAACCTAATTACACAAAATTTGGACTTTATTTCGGTTAGAAGTGAAATGTGTGGAAGGAAGTTCGAAAATAAAGTTTTGAAAATTAAGGACTATCAACTGGTAAACCAAATGAACCGAAAGAACCGAATGAACAAGAGAATGATCATTAGAACAAATAATAATAATAAGAACATTCTCAATATTTAAAAGACAGTGCAGATTCATGTGTTGGTATTTATATATGAAAGTTCAAAGAGAGCACATCGAAGAACATTTTTAAAGTGAGAAACTTCGTCCAGAAAATTTATTCACTAAAATATCAAAAATTATTAAACTGAAAAAATCGAAATTAAAAAATAAAAGAAAGGGCAAAAAAACATTAAAAGTAAAGAAATCAAAATCAAGGTGTAAAAAATGTTCCTGTGCAAATTTCTACTTTTCTCAGTATGGTTTTGCTTTGTGCAAGCATATCCAGCGAACACCGACCAAGTGCTGTCAAAATCGGATGACTCAAATAAATATAACGAAAAAATATCGGATATTTTCGATATACCCAACTATGCCACAAACGAACCGACGATTATAACAAATTGTGATAATGTTATTTGCATTTCCTATTCGTTGTGCATCAATGATAAAGTGGTGAACAACGGTAGTCAATTGTTTGATTGGCGACTATCACCCCGAACTACAGGGAGAATTCCAGGCGAATTAGTGGAGTGTGATGACATGGAGGTGCCGTGTTGTGCGGATAAAGCAATAAAAGATTTGCATCCGCCAGCACCAGACCATGACCACAATGAATACAATTCAACCGAAGACCACGAAGAGGGCGACAATAAATTTGTGAAATCCACCCAAAAATGTGGTTATAGCAAATTCACATCCAGTCAAAAAACCAGCGCTGAGCAAATGCGACCGAATGAATCCCCGTGGATGGTTGCAATATTTTTTCTATTGCCAACGGGTAAACTACAATATCTTGGTAGTGGTTCATTGATTCATGAGTCTGTGATTTTAACGGTGGCTCATTTGCTGCTTAAATTTACACCTGAACAATTGGTGATTCGTGCCGGTGAACATGACACCGATTTGAATAC